TTATTATTATTATTATTATTATTATTTTTGTTTGTGTTTCATACTAATTACTTTGAATTTAATTTTCAGGCTGGCGCCATGGAGGGAGCTTATCACACGTTATCGAATGTTGACCACCTATTTCATACACTCCATCCAGATATGCAGGTGGCATTCCAACAGGCCAAGAGCCTTCTCTACAGTTCTCTGATTGTCGGAGGCGGATAGGTCGCACAAGGGACGTCGTCGAGCCAAGTTCTATCACAGGAGAGCTACGTCCGATCCCAGAGGATGAGGTGACACCGAGCGAGGCATCAACCTGTTGCCAACATTGGTGGAGGTAGAAGACGACGTGACCGCCAACCCACTGCGACACCGGGCCTCAGGAAGAAGAAGAAGGTGAAAATTTTTTACTTAACAAAAAAATAATTTTATTTATTTTTTGTGATTTTTGTCAAGTCGAATTTCTGATTTCTTAAAAAAATGAATTACTCAGGTGAAGAAGAAGAAGAAGAACCTACCACGCCCACAACATCGTCTTCTTCACGACGACCACCACGTCGGATCAGCCACCGACAGCGCAATCCTACGAATCGATACACTCCTAATTAGTTTGTGTTGTATTCGGAGAATTTTGTAAACATATTTGTTTTTTTATTTTTTATTTTTGGTGGATTATGTGTAATGATATTTGGAAATCTTTGTATTTTGAATAAATTATTGTGGTTGATTTTTCTTTCTTTGAATAATGGATTGATATGAGCTTGTGAAATTAATATTTGGTTGTTGAATCGATCTCAACTAGTTTTAACCCGTGCATTTGCACGAAAAACTATATGACAAAGGAAAGAATGATAAAAAATACAACCAATAGTAAAAATCATAGAAGAATAATTGGAATAAAAGACGTTTAATAAAGAAAATATAAATATTATCAACTGCTTCTTTATATACAACTTTCGTAGTTTTTCTATCATAAATATCTTCATCACCACAAATCATTATCTTCAAACTCCCCCAACTCGTAACTTTGGAAAGCACCACGTACAATTGCTTGTGACTAAATACAAGGCTCTTCACCACAAATCATCTCTTAGAATAACATACACACTTAATAATTATATAAAATATATAAACAATAAATTAAAAATATATACCAGGTTCTTGAATGATTGAACGCAAATTTTCAGGGACTGGCGGTGTTTGGAACGATGGTGTTACCGGAGACAAATCAGATAATGTACCTACATTAATTAAATTGATATTAAATTTAAAATAAAATATTTAGAAATTTTATAATGTCAAACTTAATATTTTAAACATTTGTGAAAATTTTTTTGAGCAAACACAAAAATATTCAAGTTTTTAATATACCAATCAGTATTATATCTACACATACAATGCTTTTACTTGTTTAAATGATTATATTTTTCATTACAAATGTTTCAGGTCATTTTTTTGAATAATTTTATCACTATATATTGTATTAAATAATTTTGGGCTAAAAAGTTAAAAAATCTGAGCCCATTTCGAATTGTTGTAAAGCAGGAATATTGGGCCATTTTAGAAAAAGTTTTTGTATTAAAATTAGTTATTGGGCTGTATTTTTAAAAATAAAAATTTAGACAATTAAAAGCCCAAATTTTGAGCCTATGTAAGACACTTATGTCGAGTGAATGGGTCCTTAATTTGACACGTAGGAGCTGAGTTTGATTATACATGTATTAGAGTGACACGTGCCTAGCAATTGCGTATAAAATTGGAGAAACCCTAAATTGCGAGGATGTCTCGCCATTTTGACCGCCTCATGTCGACGCATCTCTCTCTCCCAAATTCTCTCCATCTCAAACCCTATCTTCGGCCTTTCATAAATGAATATTGTTGAGAATCTAGCCGAAAAATTTGTTTTTGCCGGTGATTGTTTTCCATTTGATATTGAAAAACACCCGAAAAAATGCTTTTTTCTAGAAAAAAAGAGATATCAAAAAAGTGAAATCGGCCCGATTTATGAAATCGGTTTACTAAACTATAGTATCTTGGTTTCAAATCGGGCGATTACATTATAGATCTATGAAGATCTGCAGTTTTTACATTGTCTTCTTTTTAATTTTTTAAAAAAATTATTTTACGTTTGTATTTTTAATGATTTATGGTGTTTTTGAAAATGTTTATATTCATGTTTTTATTTTAATTTATAAGGTTATAAGCAGTTTTTATACCCTTTTTGTTCGAATTATTAAAAAGTTTTGTAAGTTGTAAGCAAATGTCCTAAAATTTGAAGAGGATTAAGGAGTCCTTTGTTTTTTAACTGAAAAATGTAAATACATCTGTAGAAAATCGATTTTTTTTTTTGTTGAAATAATGTAGATCTCTGATTAGCATTTCATTTTTTGGAAAAAAAATGTAGACTCTTTTGTTTTCGTATAAATTTATATTAAATTTTAATCAATGAAATGTTCTAATTCGATGTATAATTTTAAACTACACTTGTGTACATATGTCTTGCAGCTTATCACTGGGATTAATTGAAATGTTGCAAAATGTGGCCTGAGATGTGAGAACCGTGGTAAGCGCAACATAGTTAAAGTTTGTGAAAGGAAATATGTATCAGCTTTTTTTTATGACTTCTACAGCAGAGTTTAATCTTGCCTGTTTGTACGGCTGCCCAAAACTACCTCTGTGCTATGTCCAAACTGAGCACAATTTTATTTTTTTAACTGAAAATAGTCCTAGTCATGATTTTACGTATGTTTTGGTTTATGATTTTTAAGTAAAACAATATAATGCATACAAAGTGCATGTATTTTCTTAAATAACTTTGTAGTTGGATAGATAATCCATATTTATGAAAAGAGTTCAGATTCATTCAAGTTTAGAATTATCCATTGAAGGATGATGTGTTTGTTTGCCAATAAAATGCAATTCAAGTAATTTGAAGCTCGCAATTTAAGAATCATTAAAGTGAGGATGATATATATCCTGTTGAGTATGAGATCCACGAATAGTTTTATGTTGATGTAAAACTATAAAAACTGATCTTAATTACTTTGTAGTATTTCTCTTATAAAATATATTATCAAATTTCATTTGGCTGAATTTTTTTTTATATTGATATTGAGATTAACCAACTGTTACTTATGCAGGGTTGCTCCCTTTTTTAGTGTGTCTACTGGTTTGCTCGTTTGATGATGACTGTAGAATGTTTTGAGGTACTGTTTCCCCAATCCATTTGTTTTATACTTGTTGTTTCTAGTTGTTTTACCCAATCAGTAGCTTTTGTTCTTATATGCTTTACTCCATGGTGCCTTGTTATATCTGGATCTTTTATTCTAAGTGTTATATGTTTGTTTATAGTTTAAATCTAAATATTGTCATATGTCTCCCAGTCTATTTTTAGTGATCTGCCTTTATAAATATGAATTTTATACTGCCTTGGTTTTTAGAAAGTTTACATTTAACTTTATTTTAAAAAATACAACAATTATATGGTTTTTATTGACTTCTGATTTACTTGAAAATTATTTCAGAAAATAAAAAGCAGAAATATGTCGTACATCTTCTGCTATACTCTTTATAAAACAAAGTTATGGATTCTAATTATTGTTTTTCCTTCACTTTATCAATGTGTTATTTATCTAAGAAAAAGATTTCACTTGATGAACTACAAACGGATAATTTTTTGTTGATCTTATCCTGGCTGATAAGATTAAGTAAACTTTGTAATTATTATCTACTATGTAATATATAAGATTTTTAACAATTTTTGTTATATGTAGATAAAACAAAATGGAAAAGGCAACACAGATGTAGAAGAAAAGAAACAACATATAAGGAAAAAGGTAATTCTTTCTTATAGAAATTCAAAGAACCCTAAGATACACATCCATTAGTATACCATTTGGAGTACTATCTTGCTTGCGTCTTTTGTTGCCCAATAGGCTATACCCGCTGCTCAATCTCTTCATGTTGTTTGGATTATGTGCTGAAGTCTGCTTTGTATGGTGCATTTGTACTGTAATATAGTAGATAAAATGCAAGATTATATGCTTGCGTTTTTTGGGATAATAAAGTAGATAAAATGGAAAAGTGCTTTGCAGAAGGTTTTGTTTGTATGCTGTGTTTTTCGGATAAAAAGAATGACTAAAATTTTTGGGAGTTTATATAGAAATCGTGCATATATATATGTTCACTATATTAATGACAATTGTTAGCTTTTATTAACATTATTGACCTAATGACTTATATTTGGTAGGTCTAGAAAATTGATATTATTAACATGTTGTAAAAGAGTTGCGTGAATCATGGATTTTGATCTGTTCATATTAGTGGTTTAAATAACTTTTTGATATCAATGCGTGTTGATTTTCTGTAATAAAATTAATTAATTATTGTTTCGTGAAGCTGTATTTTGTTGTCCTGTGTTAATTTTTGTTGATTTTTTTGGAAAAACTGAGAATTGTGTGTTTTTTTTTTCGGCAGTTTAAATACTGTGTGTTATTTAATATTAATTGGCATATTTAAAATGTGCAATAATCATGAATATTATATTTTAATAATTAAGTCTACATAATGATTTTCTTTGACTGCCACAAATTTGTATGACTTTTATTTTTCAGATTATGTGCCACATTTACTTTTTATTTATTAGAGTTATGAAATGTGCATGAAATATGGGAGATATTGATGCTTTGGACCAAAAATACTTCAATTTTTTCAATTTTATTTTCCCGCCTCCTATTTGAGATTTGGAAATGTTAGATAAAAATGTAATTATCTAAGTCTTATCCTAGAATTTTTTTGTAATTTCATTTTCCCGCCTCATATTTTGAGATTTGGAACTTTAATTTGATAATTATAATTAATTTGTTTGGTGGTATACTAAATGTTGATATTTAACTTTTTTTTTTTGCAGGAATTGTACACACTACTAAGGAGAAGGAGCTTCTGAAATTTTTATTTATTTTTAATTTGTTTGTATGGTGGGTTGTATTTTCTGATATTTTATTTTTTATTTGTTCATTAATTTCTTTTAATTTACTATGCATACCAAAAATAAATATTTTAATTATAATTATTGTGAGATTAAAAAAATAATTATTGATAATTGTGCAGACTAATTAAATGTTTAAAAAAATATGGGAACATTTTCAATACTCGTAATAATGGTGGAATTGATTTGTTTCCAATTTTAACAGTCAACTAACTCTTCACCGAAATTGATCTGTTTTTTAATAAAGAAACTAAAAANCACGTATTTTTGAAATACGTTTTTTTTTTATTTTAAAAAACATATTTCAGAAATACGTTTTAATTTGGGGCAAAAATTAGAGCAAAATCAATTTGGGGCAAAATTAGAGAAAAAACGTATTTCTAAAATACGTTTTATTTTTTGAAAATTTATTTTCTGCAAAAAAATTATTTTTACGAATTGTAAAATTAATTTTATTTATAAAACGTATTTCAAGAATCCGTTTTATAATTAAAACATAATTGTAAAATTAATTTTAATTATAAAACGTATTTCAATATTACATTTTTTTACTTTAAAACTTATTTTAGTTATACGTTTTCTTTTATTTTAATTAACTTAATTATGTTAATTAAGTTAATTAATTTATTTAATCTAAACCGTATTCTCTAAATACGTTTTACTAGTAAACACGTATTACAGGAATACATTTTTCAATGAAAAATGTAATCAGTGAATACGTGCTTTTTCAACTCTACTTCTTTTTACTAGTGTTGCTACCCGTGCGATGCACGAGATACAATATAAAAAAATATTCTTATTAAATATTATTAAATTATTTAAGATAATATGTAAATTCTATTCGACATAACATATCAATTTTGTAATAATATAATATTTATTTTAATATTTTAGTTTTTATTTTTCTATTTTATGTTTATAGGTATGAATTTTAATAGTTATTAGTTTATAAAATATTATAAAAGTGTAAGATCTTAAATATAATGATTGTATACTAATTACTTGCATGTACTTATACAATTTTTTATTATATTAATCTTATAATTTTTAGCAATTCATATTTTTCATATTGCTCGATAACTGACCAAAGTTTAATTCATAAAATTAATTTTAGTTATAATCACTCTAATTGCATGAGTTACTAACTTATGATGATTAACTTTTAATTTTTAAAAACTTTTATCTATTGTACAACACAAATTTTTCATGGTAAATATTTTATTTTGAATTTTAATATTTTTTGTATATATTTATTTAATTCATTTTCCTCAACATATACAATAATTTAATAATAAAAGAATTTAATAATTTTATATTCCAATGACTATAAAATCTTTAATTTCAATAATTATTTTACTATATAATTTTATTTACTCATTTTTCTTTATAAAACGATATATAATAAATATTTTAATTTTTAACACCTTGAATAGTGTTTTTGATGTATATAGATACTTTAATGTGAAATTTATAATTCTTAATTTTACCCAAACAAAAAATAAAAGATAATTCATTAATATATATCCATTAAATTTTAATTTATTCATGGTTAAATTGACTACGTTTTATAAAAGTTTATTAATATTGTAAATTATTTATTAAGCTAATATAATTCAAACATAATTATTTTTATTATTTTATTATATATTTAAAGTTTTTTGATTGATGAACATAATTCTTATCTACAACCATGAGATGATAAAACTAATCAAAATAATTTTTATAATTATAATGAATATTTTTTTTTTAAATTATGTCAACAAAATTACTATGAAATTGATATTATTGGTCTTATTCAAAATATATCTAATCAATCAATCATTCTATTTAGACAATTCATACTTAATGTGTATTAGCCATAATGTAAAAAACAAAAACTATGTTTTCATATGTAAAATTTGTTGATAAATAAAGCCTAAGTATATGCCAAATGTAAACGTTTTTTTTTTATGTCTAAAACTATATGAATTATAGTAATATAGATTGGTACATTATATAGTTATAGATATAGATTTTTATTAACTCATATATCATGTTAGTGATTACCCGATGCCACTTATGGTACTCGGTTGTAATTTTTATTTATTCTATTTATTAAAAATACATAGTTAGAATTTTATTTTTCTCACAAATAAATAACTTTTAATGTGTGTGTGTGTGTGTGTTTGTTTATATATTATTGTTGATTTTTTTTTTTTAATATTTACCCAACCGTCAAAACAAAACTTGTATTAACACATTTATATCTTTGGGTATACTATTAAAATAATTAATTTATCTTCACAAATTTTTGAGACAAAATTTTACTTGAAGCAATAATTAGTTTAAATTTTCTCAAAATTTGTACTAATACATTTATATCTCTGAGTATATTATTAAAATAATTAATTTATCTTCACGAATTTTTGAGACCAAGTCTTAATTCAAACTGATGGGTCTGCTCCTAGATCTGGAGTTAACCAGTGGTTGTGAGCTCCGATCTGTTCGAACCGCCTTCAAATCGCTCCTAGACCGCCGTAAACACCTGCAAGAACTCAACACCGTAAGTGTTTCCGGCGTAGAGCCTCCGACACTCAAGTCAGTATCAGATAGAGATGAGAGAGCTTTGCTCAGAGGGAGCAGCAACAGCAGAGAGATGGAAAGTGAATAGAATGAGTAGAAGTTATGGTTTAGGGTTACCAACCCTTTATATAGAATGAAATACGTACTTGAAGTACCCAAAATGCCTTGGTCGATTCGTATTCCAATCACCTCTTAGTCAGATCCGAGTCAGCTTAAGATTCCTTCTTATCCAATGAAGATTCATACATTCAGTCAGTTAGTCTAGGTGTCTTGAAGTGTCCTGAATCGTCATATGCTTCGAGTCTCGAGGAGTAGGGAGTCGACTTCGAGTATCAGGAGGTCGACTTAGAGCTCATCTGAGAATGTATTTGGAGGCTCTACCGTTCGCTCGTCATCTTACTAGATGTCGTCTTTTAGTTAGCCGACTTTGAGGTAGTCAACTTTCCCATTCGCAATGATATAAGGCGTCGACTTTAGTATTCCAACAAAATGTAATGAACAATTCGTCATTACATTATATCTTTGTAATGTCGAGTTTCGAATTCGTCATTACATTTTTGTTCCGTGCATCGCACCGGCTGTTGTCGATTTTTCTACCGGAGTAGAATCTAAAGATTCGAACACCGGGTCGTGTTCTCAAGGAATGTTAGCTGGATTAAATCGTACGTTTATTCAATCACGAAAGAGAAAATAGTCCTAAACATTATAATCAAATTTGTCGGGTTTTGATTATCAACTAATAATTCGATAATAAAGCTAAGTAAATGACTCAACTTACAAACGAAATATAAGAAGATATAAACGGGCTAGGGTATCGGGGATAATCTCTTCCGGTTCTACACACATTTAACGGCAATCAACAACTCGGTTAACAAGCTTGACTAATTAACTCATTTAGCGGTTTAAACTCAATAACTTTTCGTAACATGCGAATAAACATAAACGAGCGAATCAACGAAACAATTAACACATAGACAATACGTCTCCGAACATGTCTACCTCGCACGAGCCTAGTTCTACGACTTCTCCCCTATCGGTTCCGAAAGTCGCTAAATAAATTAGAAGAAATTTATTCAACTAATCATGTAGGATGAACAAACTTTAACTCAACAAACTAATATACAATCGTTTCCAATCGCAAGATTGAAGTGTCACCCTTCGATTATATCAATCAATCAAACACAAATTCGTAAATTCCTAATCAATTCAACTCGCACAAGAATGAACTATCGACATACACATAAACGAGAATGAACCGGAGCAATTATTCCCTACCCCCTAGCTAATGGATTAGCCACACATAGCAATATCAATACAAGAATTCATATCAAACAGAGCCTTCATCATCATCATAACCCAAAATGAAAGTGAAAACTTACACTTAATATGAAATCCAAATGTCTAGTACAAGTGCAAACCGAGTCCACGAGCTAGGAAAAAAAAGAGTCTTTCTTCTAACCTTACAAACCAACATAAAATGAAGACTAAGAAAGAAAATGGTGAAGAAGAGAGTGTAGAGGAGAAAATAAGAGGAGAAGAAGAAAAAGAAAAGAAGAAGAAGAGTTGCAGACGAGAGAGAAGAAGGAAAAAAGAAAAGAAAAGAGGAGAATGAGAATGGGAGAACAATTCGGTTATGAGGATGGTGAAGAGAAAAAGAGCCGACCAAAAGAATAAATCTTGAGTGAAGGATTGTCCCTTTGTCTGTAGTGCATCATGGTCAAAAAGCTCGCCTCCCAACCTATTATTCCCGGCTTTTACAAGAACCCAGGAGGACTCGCGGCGTGGCTGGTTCCTCACGGCATGGTGGAGGGTGGCATCACGGCGCGGAAGTCTTGGCACGGCATGGTGAGGTGTGGCATCGCGGCGCGACAATCTTGGCACGGCGTGGAGAGAAGGCTGGAGCGCCGCGTGGGGACTTCGTCGCGGCGTGGTAAGGTGTTGTGCCGCGGCGTGCTGGATGCCGCGGCGTGGCGCACGCATGGTCTAGAAGTCTCAGTCGACCTCGTGGTGTTGTCGCGGCCGGTTGAGGGCAGGCCTCGCGGCGCGGCAGCCGACACGGCGTGGCGACCTGGATTGATGTCTCTGAAGAGTTCTCGTGGCAGACCTCACGGCGCGGAGAGGACGTGGAGGATGGCTGGTACTCGGACCACTTGCGCGACTTCACGTTTCGAGTTCGTTCGACCTTGTCTGGGCTTGGATTTGAATCCACTTTTTTCTGTGTGTGGCCAACGAATCATTCTACGCGACCATGATTACCCGGTCAGTTTTCGAGCCATACCTATTCCCCTCGAGGCACCGGACCTACACACCAATGACGAGAAAAAACGCGAAAAATCGAGAAATAATCGAAAAACACATAAAAGACACGAACTAACGGAAAATACGCAATAAAACACAACGCCCTAAGAACGAAAGAAATGACCTAAAACGAGGGAAAAAGAAAAGCAAAACAATAAAGAAAAACGCAACAAAAATGGGACAAACACCGGCTACGTACTAGTATTTTGAGCCAAGTCTCATTTTTATTTTTATTTTATTTTTTTTTTGGTTAAAAGTGAAGATGACCTTAATTGGACAAGAGTGTAACCTCCAAGAATATCAACACATTAGCCGTTTCCTCAATTTTTTTTAGGAGAATTTCGGCCATTTAGCAAAGGTTTTGGAACAAGGTAATTGAAGATTCAAAGCCTTTCAATTTCTGTAACAACCTTATTAGTATCCCTCGACTTATGCTCATTAAATCACAAATAATTTCTCTCCTTTGCAAGTTTCTTTTTCGGTTTTTTTCTAACTGATTGGAATTTCGTCCAAATACATTGATCCACCAAATATAAGTGTCATGAATATCCAATGGATGGATCTCAGCTGACATTCCAACAAAATGTAATGAACAATTCTTTGATTTTTTGTGAAACTTTAACAATGATTTAACAAAGCTTGACGTATCATATCACAAAATTAATCATATCTTAGAGAGATCAAGTCAAGAACTTTGAATAATATATGATTTGATAAAATCCATCACTGGTAGACAGGCGACGACCGTTAATTGACGGTGGTTAGACATGTCAAAACGGCCCGGCGGGGCGAACTCCCGCTGTTTGGCGGGGCGGGGCGGGCCTGCCCGCCATCTTGGCGTGCNAAGAGAAATTAGGCACAACATTTTCTTTAGTTTTCTCAATCGTTTGGGCCCTTTTGTGTTTTCTGAAAACAAGAAAATAAAAGTGGGTTGAGAAAGATTCATTTCTCAATAGAATCTAACAAATTTACGAGATTATTTGTGAGAGAGGAACTGGTAGTGTGTTTTGGGCCCTTTGGATTTGGGTTGGGTAGCCGAGGTAAGGTTACAATTTATTTATTTATTTTTTTTTAAATATGACGGGCTGACCCGCGGCCTGCCCCGCTCTTTGGCGGGCCTTTAAAATAGCAGCCCCACCCATCTATTAGGCGGGGCGGGGCGGGGCGGGGCGACCCGCGGGCCTAGCCCCGTTTTGACAAGCTTAACGGTGGTGGCATGCATGTAGCGTTGAGTGGCGGTGAAATAACCGAGTCTTCAATTCTGACACACTTTTAATTTTATAGCCCATATTTTTAATTATTATTATTATTATTATTATTATTATTATTATTATTATTATTATTATTATTTCTACATTATCTTGTAATTAAATACAATTATATTATGAATTAAAATACATATAATCAAAATTAAACTAAGGATATAATAAGTGTTTCATATGTACGAGACAATCTCATACTTTTTTTGCCTCGTACATTAAATGTAGGGTTGCGATTGACTAATTTATTAATGTAACATTGAGATGATGGATACTTATAGTCAGATATTTATAAAAAGTACCTCACGATAGAGGGTCACAACTAATATTTTGTACGCATTCTTTCGGTTGTCAACTTTAAAGTTTGAACCAATCAAAGCAAGAACAATCATGGCATGCAAATGATATATTTTTGAATCAATATTAACTTTTAATGTGAATATCATGATTGCATAAATCCTTACAATAACATGAACATGATTGTTCAATCAATAATTCTCCTTGTGGGAACCCTATTCTCTTTGTCGGAACCCTATTATCTCGAGTGAGATCCCCAGTTATCTTCATCATCCCATTAATCAATTCCTAATCTCATGTGTTTCTTTCATTCGTATCTTGCTTTCGCACTCTCAAATGAATTCATCTAGCGAAAATAGCCCTGGGCAAAAAAGACCTAGAATTGAAATTGAAAAATTTTTCCTTATCCGAAGCAGAAAATTAAATCGTCGATCTAGCTCACGACAACATCAAACGAAGCAAAGATGAATGCCACGGAGTTTATTCGGGAAGATCGTAGAAGATCGAAAAGTCAGTCTATTCGGTCTCAAGAGAACCATGAGCATACATATGGAAAATTCAAAATACAGTCGAAATCAGGGAGTTAGGCACTAATTTTCTTTCAATTCATTTTTGAAAATCGCGATGACCTCAAGAAAGTTGCTTCAGGAACAAACTGGATCTATGACAACCAATACCTGATCATACAAGAATGGCAGGATAGCATCAACTGTTCACATCCAAGCTTTGACATACTGCATCTCTGGGTCCATGTCTATAACATCCCATTCCACTGGTAATCTGCTGAAGTAGGTTTAAAGATTGGTAAGCTTTTCAAAGGAGTTAAAAACGTCACTCTTTCTATAGCTGGAGACACATGGGTGGGTCGGGTCATTAGAATCCTAGCTGCCATCAATATCAAACAACCTCTTATGAGGTGTGCTAATGTCAGACTAGGAAGGCAAATAATTAAGGTTAACTTCAAAGAAATTGGTTAACCTTTGTTATTACTGTGGCACACTGGGGCACTTAGACAGGGATTGCAAGAAGAGGCTAGAAGATATCTCCCAAAATACTCTCCAGGATGGGCAATATGGAGAATGGCTTAAAGTAGGAGATAATCCACAACCCTACACTTTCCAACAATACAGTCCTTCTAGATCAAGGGGCTCAAAGAGTACAAGAGCTCATTCCAAGCCAATTAACCCACCATCAGATCAAGCTTGTGACCAGAATCATAAGGAAACAAGCAACTCCGAAAACTACCTCAATTCAAACAGCCTAGTGGAAATCACAGTGCACTCTCATCCTGAACAGTTAATGATGGCAGAACCAATTTCCTCAGTAAGTCCTCAGAAAGCTCCTCCCCTTACTTTGACAAGCAAGACCCAACATAAACGAATAGAAACTACAGTCCCACATGTGGGACAGCCAACATAAAGCTTGCAAGACCTCCCCATTATCATGGAAGCAGAAGAAACCAATGAACTCCCTGAGCAAGAAAGCCAAACACCAGCATAAATAAAATGGAAAAGAGTTACCTAACAAAAAGGCAGGCTCCAAAGATCTCTCACCATCAAAGAACCAGACACACTTAACATCTCCCTGAAGAGAGAAAGACCAATACCTGAAGAATCTCCTCAAGACTCTTCCTCTAGAGGTAAAAAGTTGAAACAATCTATTGACATGGGTTTGTTGGCCACCCACAAAGAGCCAACAAGTGATCAATGAGGGTGCTAGTGTGGAATTATAGAGGTTTGGGTGGACCCTCTACAATTCTCCAGCTCAAGGAGTCCATGAGGACCCACTGCCCCTATTTAACTTTCCTTTCAGAAACAAAAAAAAAAAAAATGCAGATTTTGTAAATACTGTGTGTAGAAGTTTGAAGGTAGATGATAGATGGAAAGCTGTAAACCCAACTGGGCTAGCAGGAGGTTTGCTTTTGCTTTGGAGTAAAGATGTTTTGATATCTCAAATTCTCTGTAACTTCTCTATGGAGGTAGAATATTCTACTCCCCAAAATACTAAAAAATCTTGGCTCATTTTGCCTATTTAAGCACTTCCAGGAATATCATAGAGCAATAATGGAGCTTCTTAAGGATATGCAGCCAAAGTGAGGGAACTCATGGATATGTGCAGGGGACTGGAATGACCTATACAACTCTAAAGAAAATAGAGGAGGCCAGCTGAGGTCACCTCAGAGTTTCATGGGTTTTAACTCCTTCTTATCTGCTATGGGCATGGTGGAACCCAAATGGACAGGGTATGCATTCACTTGGGCAAATAACAGAGAACAAGAAGGCTTTGTGGATTAGGAATTGGACAGAGTCTTCTGTTCAATAGAATGGCTTACTGAACATCCTAATGCAACTGTGGAGAACATTCTAAGAACTTCATCAGATCATAGCATGCTGCTTTTAAACACAAACACCATTCCCCACAACAAGAAAAGCAGATTCACCTTTGACAAAAGGTGGATATCAAAGGAGGGTGTCAATGATGTGATTAAAACAACTTGGAGTCAGCCTTGTGAGGGTACACCAATGTTCAGGGTTAAGGAAAAGATCAAAGCAACCAGGATTGCACTGCTTCACTGGAGTAGAAATCACCACTCAAAATCAAAAGAAGATCCAGACTCTATCAAGGATCAGTTGAATGATGCCTACTACCAGGAAGAGGTCTACTGAAAGCAGAAATCAAGAATTTTGTGGCTGAAAGCTGGAGACAAGAACTCCAAATTCTTCCATGCCCTCACAGCTCAGAGGAGAAGAATGAATGCCATCACTAGGCTATTTGATGAGATTGGTCACCTCCTTGAAGACCATCAAAGCATTCAGAACTGTATGTGCAAATTCTATGACAACCTTTATTCCTCAGATGGTCCACCAGGCAATGTGGAGATTCTCTTGAATATTTCTCAATCCATTACTGACCAGCAAAACCAAGATTTGATAGCTGAAATTGATGACAAAGAAATAGCTGAAGCTCTTTTCAACTTACACCAAGAGAAAGTCCCAGGTGAGGATGGCATGACAGGCATATTCTTCCAACATTTCTGGCCTATCCTCAAAGATGATGTTTGTGATGCTATCAAAAGCTACTTTCAGTCAGGCAGGATGCTAAGATATTGGAATCACACCATTCTCTCACTCATCCCAAATGTTTGTACCAAGAATCTTTAAGTAACTTTTGGCCAATAAGTCTCTGTGGTGTTTTTTATAAAACAATCTCAAAAATCCTCACCAACAAACTTAAGCCTTGTTTATCCACTTGCATCAGTGACTACCAAGCAACATTCTTCCCTGATAGATCTCTTCTTAATAATGTGGTGACAGCCCAGGAGGTATTCCATTTCCTCAACAGGCATAGATCAGGTAACAACTTTTTTATGGCCATCAAGCTTGATTTACTCAAAGCTTTTGACAGACTTGAATGGGAATGTGTCAAACTTGTAATGATCATAATGGGATTTCAGATAAAATTTTTAAACTGGATCATGGGATGCATTACTTCGCCCACTTTCTCTTTCAAGTTAAATGGCACTGTCTGTGGATTGGTTAAACCTCCTCGTGGCCTAAGGCAGGGGGATCCTATCTCCCCTTACCTTTTTATCATGGTGGCTGAAATCTTTTCTGCTCTTATTCTGAAAGAAGCTGGCTTAAGAGGTATATATTAAAGTGCTGAGAATCTCAAGGAATGGTCCAACCTTGTCTCATTTATTATTTGTGGGTGACACTCTTGTTTTCTGTAAACCAGACACCAATCAAGCCTTCCAACTGATGGATATACTTGGTAAGTACCAGTCTATTTCAGGGAAAAAAGTGAATTGGTCTAA